CCGGGGGGGACAGTAGGTCCCCCCTTATTGTTAATTTTAGGGCCCCCACCCACCGCTCAGGGGTGGGGGCCAGGGGGGGACAGTAGGTCCCCCCTTTATTGTTATTTTTAGGGCCCACACCCACCGCTAGGTCCCCCCCTATTAGTATTTAGGACCCCACTGGGGGGGGACCCTTTTTTTTTTAACAGTGAGCAGCCACAGGCTGCTCACTGTTTAATAGACATGCCCCTACTCGCGGTATTGCGAGTAGGGGCACAATTTACTAATACTAAGTAATTTTTACTTAGTATTAGTAAATGAATAGAGGGGGAAACCGAATATCGCATATGTTCGCCATCCGTGGCGAACGCGAACACGCTATGTTTGCCGGGAACTATTCGCCCGCGAACCGTTCGGGACATCACTAGTAGACACCCTAGGGTATTTCACATGGTGGTATTTTAACATTTTCTATGCTCTAATTCTACCGCCAGGCTTTGTCAAACATTGAGGTAGTAATTTTTTTTCTGTTTTTTCCACACACATTGTACTTTAGGCATGAAATAACAGATCCTGTTATGTGTCACTGCCAAACAACACCCCAATATGTTCAACAACATCTCCCGAGTACAGTGATACCCCCCATGTATAGGGTTGCTGGGTTGTTTGGGGGCCACAAGGCAACAATCAGAACTTGTGCATGTCAGTTTTTCAACTTGATTTATAGGTATGGTTGGTCTATCTTCAGTTTGACATATTTTTGCACCCCCAGTTAATGTTACCATCATAAAAGTATATATAGTATATATTTTTATAAAGTATACATCAAAGGTTATAGAAGATGGGGTGTTTTGACTTCTTTCCCCCAACCATTTTGCCCCCCCAAACAACAGAGAAAGTGTAGTGGTAATTTTTAAATTCTGGTTTTTATGCACATGTCATCTGGTTTTGGCCAGCTGGTTATGTGTTACTGCCAGAAAACTTGTTAGACCAAATGTGCAGGTAGAAAATCTACATTTAGCAGCAATCTTTAAACTGACTCCTGCAAATAGAATCTAACTGGAGATTTGGGGGAAGGAAACTGACTAACAAAAAATGGCTGCTTTCCAAAGAAACAAAAAATAAAATAAAAATTCAGGAACACTTCTTACAACTATTCTGTGTGGTACAGCTTGAAACATGTTCCTACACACAGTCCTGATTTCGAAGGGCAATCAGGACAGTGAAAAGGGGTGTCTGTCCTTTTCCTGTTTTTAAAACAGACCCGTCAACGTTTCTGTTTTTTTTTTTTAAAATAAGATATGGCTGCATCAGCTGATCAGCCAAATCAACACCCCCATGTACTTATTATACGCCCTGATGCAAACCTGTTTGGACTCTGCTCTGCCCCGGACAGAGACGTCTGACATGTGTTCGTCATGGATGGTGGTTAGCATGTTGACATCCTTCCTGTCCCTAAATTTTAGTGCAAGCACTTCAGCTTTGCAAAGTGCTTTACATTCGCCTTTTTTTAATTTTGCCTCTATGAGAGATCGTGGAAAGTCTTTGGAATTTTTTCTGGCAATGCCGCAGGCCAGTGTCTTTAAACCATAAAGTGTTTTAAACAGACGGACACTACTATAAAAATTATCCACATAAAGGTGGTAACCTTTATTAAACAAGGGGTTTAGTAGGTCCCATACAAGTTTCCCAGTTGTCCCCAGGGAGTCAGGACAGCCAGAAGGGTCCAGTTGACCATCTTTCCCCTCATATACACAAAAGGCAAACGTGTATCCACTTTTGCTCTCGCACAGTTTGTACAGTTTGATGCCATATCTAGACTGCTTTGAGGGGATGTATTGTCTGAATCCTAATCTCCCTTTGTATTTCATTAGCGATTCATCTATGGATACATTTTGTTGGGGGGTATAAACATCCAAAAATGTGTCCTGAAAATGTGGGCGTATTTTATGAAGCCTATTGTATTGGGGTGATCTCTAGGGTGACAGAGGGTATTGTCACTGAAATGTAAAAATCTCAGCAGTAACTCGTATCTGGCTCTAGGCATGGTTTGGGAGAATACTGGACTAGACATTATTGGGTTGGTGCTCCAGTATGAGCGAATCAATGGCTTCTTTATAATCCCCATGAGCATTGTAAGAGCCCAGAATTTTTCAAGCACTGGGACATCTGTGGGATGCCTGTCATAGAAACACAGAAACATAGAATGTGACGGCAGATAAAACCATTCGGCCCATCTAGTCTGCCCAATTTTCTAAATACTTTCATTAGTCCCTAGCCTTATCTTATAGTTAGGATAGACTTATGCCTATCCCACGCATGCTTAAATTCCTTTACTGTGTTAACCTATACCACTTCAGCTGGAAGGCTATTCCATGCATCCACTACCCTCTCAGTAAAGTAATACTTCCTGATATTATTTTTAAACCGTTGTCCCTCTAATTTAAGACTATGTCCTCTTGTTGTGGTAGTTTTTCTTCTTTTAAATATAGTCTCCTCCTTTACTGTGTTGATTCCCTTTATATATTTAAATGTTTCTATCATATCCCCCCTGTCTCGTCTTTCCTCCAAGCTATACATGTTAAGATCCTTTAACCTTTCCTGGTAAGTTTTATCCCGCAATCCATGAACCAGTTTAGTAGCCCTTCTCTGAACCCTCTCTAAGGTATCAATATCCTTCTGAAGATACGGTCTCCAGTACTGTGTACAATACTCCAAGTGAGGTCTCACCAGTGTTCTGTACAATGGCATGAGCACTTCCCTCTTTCTATTGCTAATACCTCTCCCTATACAACCAAGCATTCTGCTAGCATTTCCTGCTGCTCTATTACATTGTCTGCCTACCTTTAAGTCATCAGAAATAATCACCCCTAAATCCCTTTCCTCATATGTTGAGGTTAGGACTCTATCAAATATTCTGTACTCTGCCCTTGGGTTTTTACGTCCAAGATGCATTATCTTGCACTTATCCACATTAAATGTCAGTTGCCACAATTCTGACCATTTTTCTAGTTTACCTAAATCATTTGTCATTTGTCTTATCCCTCCTGGAACATCAAGCCTGTTACATATCTTAGTATCATCAGAAAAAAGACATACCTTACCATCAAAACCTTCTGCAATATCACTAATAAAAATATTAAAGAGAATGGGTCCAAGTACAGATCCCTGAGGTACCCCACTGGTGACAAGTCCAAGCTTCGAATATATTCCATTAACTACAACCCTCTGTTGCCTGTCACTCAGCCACTGCCTTACCCATTCAACAATATTGGAATCCAAACTTAAAGATTGCAGTTTATTGATAAGCCTTCTATGTGCAACAGTGTCAAAAGCCTTACTGAAATCTAGGTAAGCAATGTTTACTGCACCACCCTGATCTATAATTTTAGTTACCCAATCAAAAAAATCAATAAGATTAGTTTGGCATGATCTCCCTGAAGTAAGAAAAAAGACACTAATTCGCCAGCACAAATACCCAACTTGATATTGTGCCGGGAAAGAGCTGTACAACCCTATAAACATGTACTTATGATAAAAAATGTATCGTAATTTATTAAAGATAAAAGCCTTAGTCTCCTATTCACTAGGTACATAGGTGTAGAAGGTAGAAAATATCTATGTAAGAGGCTAAGATAGCAATGGACAGATAGAACTGAAGGTAGATATAGTCTGTTCTAAATTAGATAAAGAGATCCAGCAAAGACCAATAGTAGGTATCTAGAAGGCATATAGACGCTCCATTCTACACTACATAGCCAAAAATCATCTAGAAACTCTCTAAATATTCACAGCTCGATGCTACCTAAATAGAGGTAGCATCGAGCTGTGAATATTTAGAGAGTTTCTAGATGATTTTTGGCTATGTAGTGTAGAATGGAGCGTCTATATGCCTTCTAGATACCTACTATTGGTCTTTGCTGGATCTCTTTATCTAATTTAGAACAGACTATATCTACCTTCAGTTCTATCTGTCCATTGCTATCTTAGCCTCTTACATAGATATTTTCTACCTTCTACACCTATGTACCTAGTGAATAGGAGACTAAGGCTTTTATCTTTAATAAATTACGATACATTTTTTATCATAAGTACATGTTTATAGGCAGGGGTCAAGTCCTGGGGAAAAAGGTGTGGGAACTCACCCAAGATTTCCGCCTCCCCTCCCACCCCCACATTCACTTAAAAAAAAAAAAAAAAAATTACACTCCTATGCATATAGTGCAGTGCAGGGTGTGTATAATGAATGTAGTGTGCTTGTAGTGAATGCAGAGTATGAATAATAAATGTAGTGTGTTTGTAGTGAGTGCAGTGTGAATAATAATTGTAGTGTATTTGTAGTGAGTGCAGAGTGTGTATAATGAATGCAGTGTGTTTTAGTGAGTGCAGAGTGTGTATAATGAATGTAGTGTATTTGTAGTGAGTGCAGTGTGTATAACAAATGTAATGTAGTGTATTTGTAGTGAGTGCAGTGTGTATAATAAATGTAGTGTGTTTGTAGTGAGTGCAGTGTGTATAGTGAATGCAGTGTGTATAGTGAATGTAGTGTTTTTGTAGTGAGTGCAGAGTGTGTTTAATGAATGCAGAGTGTGTATAGTGAATGTAGTGTGTTTGTAGTGAGTGCAGAGTGTGTACAATGAATGTAGTGTGTTTGTAGTAAGTGCAAATTGTGTATAATGAATTTAGTGTGTTTGTAGTGAGTGCAGTGTGTACAATGAATGCAGTGTATGTAGTGTGTTTGTAGTGAATGCAGAGTGTGTATAGTGAATGTAGTGTACAGTGAGTGCAGAATGTGTATAATGAATGCAGAGTGTGTATAGTGAATGCAGAGGGTGTATAGTGAATGTAGTGTGTTTGTAGTGAGTGTATAGTGAATGTAGTGTGTTTGTAGTGAGTGAAGAGTGTGTATAATGAATGCAGTGTGTGCGTGTGCTGGATGATGTGTGTGCTCGCTGGATGACGTGTGTGTGCTCACTGGATGATGATGTGTGTGTGAGTGCTGGATGATGGTGTGTGTGTGTGCTGGATGATGTGTGTGTGTGTGTGCTGGATGATGTGTGTGTGTGTGTGCTGGATGATGTGTGTGTGAGTGCTGGATGATGTGTGTGTGTGTGCTGGATGATGTGTGTGAGAGTGCTGGATGATGTGTGTGAGAGTGCTGGATGATGGGTGTGTGAGTGCTGGATGATGGGTGTGTGAGTGCTGGATGATGGGTGTGTGTGTGCTGGATGATGGGTGTGTGAGTGCTGGATGATGGGTGTGTGTGTGCTGGATGATGGGTGTGTGAGTGCTGGATGATGGGTGTGTGTGTGCTGGATGATGGGTGTGTGAGTGCTGGATGATGGGTGTGTGAGTGCTGGATGATGGGTGTGTGTGTGCTGGATGATGGGTGTGTGAGTGCTGGATGATGGGTGTGTGAGTGCTGGATGATGGGTGTGTGAGTGCTGGATGATGTGTGTGGGGAGGGGGAAGCATTTTTTTCTTACTTTATGTGTTTATATTTGTTTATTTTATTCCCCCCTCCCTGCTTCTTACCTTGTCAGGGAGGGGGGAGATCGCCTGGTGGTCCGGTGGAGGGAGCCAGCCGCTGCACACAGGGGCCATCGCACACTGTGTTCCCTCTCCAGGTCTAACTCTCGCGAGACTCGCCTGTGCGGAGCGTTGCCATGGTAACAGCCGCGGGTCTCGCGAGAGTTAGAGCTGAAGGGGGAACACAGCGTGTGATGACCCCACTGTGCAGGTAGCAGGGCCGGTCCTGCAGGACAGGTAACGGGAACGGCGTTCCTGCTTTGGAAAAAGTGCAGGAACGCCGTTCCCATGCGTTCCTGCAGGACTCGAGCCCTGTTTATATGGTTGTACAGCTCTTTCCCGGCACAATATCAAGTTGGGTATTTGTGCTGGCGAATTAGTGTCTTTTTTCTTACTTTATATTAGGGTTATCCCCTGCATCTGTACAACCTGGTGGCACTTTTTTTGTTTTTTGATTTCAGGGTTCTAGGAGGGATATGTGCCTTTCTTACCCCTATCTGGGCTGAAAGGAGATTCCCAACTAGACTTGGATTCTACTTTTAGAGTCTCCCTGAAGTAAACCCATGTTGTCTCTGATCTTGAAATCCATTTGTTTTTAGATGTTCATCAATCCTATCCTTTAACATGGTTTCCATCACTTTCCCCACTACTGAAGTAAGGTTTACTGGCATATAGTTGCCCGACTCCTCCCTATTACCTTTCTTGTAAATGGGCACAACATTCGCTAATTTCCAATGTTCTGGGACTACTCCTGTTAACAATGATTGGTTAAATAAATCTGTTAATGGTTTTGCTAGTACACCACTAAGCTCTTTTAATAGCTTTGGGTGTATTCCATCAGGTCCCATTGACTTATTTGTCTTTACTTTTGACAGTTGAAATAGAACCTCTTCCTCTGTAAACTCACGTGTAATAAATGACTCATTTATCCTTTTTCTCAACTGAGGTCCATTTCCTTCATTTTCATCTGTAAATACAGAACAAAAATATTAATTGAGGCAGTCAGCTAGACCTTTATCCTCTTCTACATACCTTCCTTCTTTTTTATAATTCATTATTTTTGTCGTGCAAGAATTTACAACAGTGTCTGTGTAGCCACAACAGCTGTAACAGACGCAGTCAAATATAACATAGTAAAACATTTTCGTGGCGTTAGTTAACTCAGCACGTTTTTGTAATTTAGTAAACAGGATTAGGTCAAAGGGTATGTAAGGCATTAAATTAAACATTGCTAGTGTGTCTTCAAGTTAGGTGTAAGGACTGGTCTAGTGAAGGAGGTATGCATACATTGCTATATCATAGATAGGTCTGGTTACCGGAAAGCCTATATGTCGCAGCGGTTAGTAGCATTATATTTGGCTAACCCTTAAGGTTAACATGCTTTGTGAACACATTTATGTCATGCTTATTTTGTAAAGTTTCATAGCATTAATATCTGTCACGGTACCCTCCAGCATACACCAAGCATTATGCACTTATACACGTTGGGTCAAGTCGCTTATATTAAGTAGGGTCATCGCACATTTTGTAGCGTTCTACTAGGAATTCACTTGGTGTCCAAAACTGAGTGCGAAATATATAAGATTATAGAGAAAACAGACATATGTATAGACGCTTTTAAGTGACAGTAGCTTAGCTAGGGTAAAAATAAAACAATCTCGGAAATCTCAGGTCATCATAAGCAGCTTAAGGAGTCCCAAAGTGGTGACCTTTCTGGTTACCGGGTTTCAGTCCAGCATGGTTAGGAGTCCAGTAGTCAGAGTTTCATCCGATACCCGTTGTTGGTCTGCTCAGTGAGCCAGCATATAGCCTGGTGGGTTTGTTTAATCGATACCCAATGCTGGCAGTATGCTTGCTCTGAAGGTTGTCGCACAGGATAAGCGTGGATGCAGCTGCAGCTACTGTAGTTGCCTCCAGGAGGGATAGGGTGGGCCTCAGGAGAGTGACGGTGCTTTCCTCAGGCACAAAGGAGTTTTTCCACCAAATATATATGCTGCAAACATCACCTTGTTTAGCCCAGTGTAGTGAGCCGACACATCCCTGGAGATGATTACTGTGGTGGTCAGATGGCGCTGGATGGTTTTGTCTGTGTGCAAGTTCTATCCTGTGGGTAGTTTGCACTTGTGGCTGGCGTGCGGCGGCCATCTTGGGAGGGTGCTGCCGGTGAGTGTTTCCCAGCGGGGTGATTGCTTTCTGCCCAGCTTGGCGCAATAGCAGTTGAGTATGTAGACCGGGATGACCCCCCCGGTCCAGAGGGGGGAGGAGGGCCGGACACCAACCGGAGACCCGGGAGAGCGGCCGTCTCATCCCGGCTCAAGCTCCAACATGCCTCGGGCCGTTGTCGGGTTACTGTAGGCAACGGACAGGATCTTGAGGGGTTTCTCCTCGTACCCCAGGATCTGGGGCTCAGTTTAGTCTCCGTTGCGGGTTGCTGGAAAGATTTTGCCTCCAGTTTGCGCCGATTTTCCGGCCCCAAAGCGGGAGCTCAGACAGAGCACGTCTGATCCCGTCGGCGGTCCGGCCCCGCCCCCCCCTTCTTTTTTTTTTAATCTAACTAATCCTTGTTTTACTTTTCTTTTCTCATTTATGTATCTAAAAAATGTTTTATCCCCCTTTTTTACTGACTGTGCTATTTTCTCTTCTGTGTGTGATTTGGAAGCCCTTATAACTTGCTTAGCCTCTTTCGGCCTAATCTTAAAGATCATTTGGTCTTCCTCACTCTGGGTTTTTTTATAATTCCTAAATGCTAACTTTTTGTTTTTAACTATTTTGGCCACATCTGTAGAGTACCACAGTGGTTTCTTGAATTTTTTGCTTTTACTGACAAGCCTAATGCAATTTTCTGTTGCCTTCAATAGTGCAACTTTTAAATAATCCCATTTCTCTTGGACTCCATTTAAATTGCTCCAATCTGATAATGACTCCTCTACCCATATTCTAATTTTAGAAAAGTCTGTTTTCTAAAGTCTAAAACTTTTGTTTTTGTGTGGTGTGACTCAGTCACTGTTCTTATATTAAACCACACTGACTGATGATCACTGGATCCTAAACTTTCACCTACAGTAATATCTGATACCAAATCTCCATTTGTTAACACTAAATCTAGTATGGCCTCTTTACGAGTTGGCTCCTCAACAACTTGTTTTAGAGACAATCCCAGTAGGGAGTTTAGAATATGTGTGCTCCTGGCACAAGTAGCTAATTTTGTTTTCCAATTTACATCAGGAAGATTAAAGTCACCCATGATGATAACTTCCCCCTTCATTGTCATTTTAGCTATTTCCTCAACTAGTAGATTATCTGACTCTTCAATTTGTCCTGGGGGCCTATAAATCACACCTACATGAGTTACTGTGTGATTACCAAATTCTAACGTAGCCCAAACGGACTCTATGCTTGCCTTACTTACTTTTATTAGGCTAGATTTTATGCTATTCTTCACATACAAGGCCACCCCTCCCCCTTTCTTGCCTTCCCTATCTTTCCTATATAAAGAGTACCCTGGTATTGCTATATCCCAGTCATGTTTCTCATTATACCATGTCTCAGTAACAGCGACTAAATCTACACTATCAGCTGCCATTATTGCCACAAGTTCATGGATCATATTCCCTAAACTGTGAGCATTTGTAGACATGACTCTAAGCTTATCATTTTTTAAGACACTTGCTACAGGCACCTTTTGTCCTTGTTTTGGGGGACAATTGGATTGGTGTTTTATCACCCTTTTGCTCCCCCCCTCCTAGTTTAAATATATCCTAGCAAAATCTCTGAACTGCTCACTGAGAACATTTGTTCCCTTTTGAGAAAGATGCAAACCATCTTTTTTGTACAGCTTATCTCCATTCCAAACAGAGCTACCATGAGAAATAAAGCCAAATCCTTGCTCCGACACCATTCACCAAGCCACAAATTAAAGTCCCTAATACGCATCCGCCTATCGTTCTGAGTGTTATGCACAGGCAGAACTTCAGAGAATGACAGTGTGGAAGCAACCTGCTGTTTATCATTGGCAAAAACACTAAAAACTTCCTTAACCACTGAAACCTCATTGCAAGCCAAGTAATTTGTCCCTAGATGGACAAGTACATCCAATTCCCTTTCCTGCTTTGCTTGCTTAACAATATTACAGATACGTCTCCTGTCTCTGTGAGCAGTAGCTCTGGGAAGACACCTCACAAGACCACCATTGTCCATCTCCACACCTCTTATAATGGAATCCCCCAACAACAACTGCTTTCTATTAGGCCTCACCATAGTCTCCAAGCCGGTCTCCACAACACCACTAGTCTCAGTGCCTCTCTCCACAACACCACTAGCCTTAGTGTCTTTCTCCACAACACCACTAGCCTCAGTGCCTCTCTCCACAATACCACTAGTCTCAGTGCCTCTCTCCACAACACCACTAGCCTCAGTTCCTCTCTCCACAACACAACTAGCCTCAGTGCCTCTCTCCACAATACCACTAGCCTCAGTGCCTCTCTCCACAACACCACTAGCCTCAGTGCCTCTCTCCACACTACACTAATTTCTACAGACAATAAACAGATTGTAGTACTGTGTGTTTCTGGTGTGTAGTTGGTCTTTGTATATAATTTTAGCATACACACACACACACACACACACACACACACACACAAATGTTTATATTTGCAGCCACCCTCCTGTTTGCTTACCCTTTTCAGGCTTTAGTGCTGCAGGCTTTAGTGCTGATGTGCCAGGTTGGCA